CTAGTAATGTTTAAGATAGATGTTTAGGGTAGGATATAGCAGGTTTAAAAATTAGGAAAATTGCAAATGCACTGATTAATATGAATCACTGCATATGCATGTAAATGTAAGATTAAATTTCGTTTATGTAAGGTAAGGTTACATTTATTGTATGTAAAAACTATATATAAGACTTCAATAATAAGAATTCGAATTGTAAAACATCAGGAAATGAAATTTATATCGAGAATTTAATGTGCGATGAAGTATAGCATACAATAAGTGTAATTTTGCCAGAAATATTGCCATGTGTGGTTCGTATTTATTATGTATATACTTTATTGTAAAATTATCGATATATATGTAAAAAAAACTTGTAAAATTGTAAAACTCAAAAATTGTAACACACTCTGATAAATTGTAATACACCAGTAAAAGATATATTTTTTGAAAATGCAACTTTTCAGACACACATATATTTGTGTACCGTCGAATCAATTTTAAATAATGTACTTATTCTATTTTTTTTACTTTGTAATGTAACTATATGTATATATGTAGCGTTTGTATAAAAATAAAAGCAAATAGCAGCAAATGATGATAAAGGAGATGGTACCTGAGTACACTCTACGAATTCTGATGCTGCTCGCTAAAATAAGATTCTTTTCTTGACTATCACATCTTTTCTAGTATATCACATTTATGTTGTACGAAAAGTTGCAATGGTTTTTCTTATCCTTTTCTGTTTTCCTTTCTCATCTTCTCATCGCGAGATCGGTCAATTTAAATTTCAAAAAAAATCAAATTCACGCTCTCGAATATACTCACACATTTAAAGAAAGTGACCATTTAAACTCGTGCACATAGCACAGAATAGAACCGCACGCTGTGGACATAGCGCACCGACATGTCGCTCGTGGACGGGCTGCGTAGTTCCAATGTGCACCACCCATTGACAGTGCGCTGGCTTACGGTGAGGAAAAGCAATTACACATTATCTTATGAGCCTAGCCTCTCTCTCTCTCGGTAGTCTTCTCCCTGGTAGTACATAACTATAGTCAAAGATGGCGCTTACATCCGCACCTTTCGCAGTGACCTCTTAATCCGCCTTTATTTGAATTGGCGCAAACTTCACACCAACTACTCGTAGTAACAGCCATTTTGCCGTCTAAAACTGTCGCGCCGCGTATTTATTTTAAATTTACTCGTGAAATATTTGTACAAGTAAATTGTTTCTTATAAAAGTGCAAAGTAAGTATCGACCGAACAAATATGTAAGAAAGAGTGAGATAAACATTCTGAAGAACGAAATACCGAGACAAAAAGCGTCGACTTTTGTAACGAGATTTTTTTTTCGTATTTCAGGAACCGGTGGTAGCGGAAATAAAAAAAAACAAAGAACTGCAAACGGGACGAGGATGTTTGCTGAAGAAAGGTAAGTGGCGTATTACCTAATCAAATTTATTTTTACTTAATATTTCATGGTACAGTCTATATCTATTATGATATATAAAATAACGTTGTTATAGTTGTCGAAAATGCAAGGAGGTTTCAACAAAGGCGGAAACAGTTTTCTCTGACTGAGTAGCGCCCGGGAAAGAAGGGGACGAGTGAAAAAAACTGGCTTTTCGAGGAAACAACAAACAAAAGGAACAACACGTGTGTGTGAAAAATCAATCGAGACACGCGAATTGCGGTGATGTGAGAGTAAAAGGTATGTGGTGTCGTTTAGTCATGTTTATATATTTATATGTAAAGTTCTAAAAAAGGATGAATCACTTAATCCTTTAGCACTTAATTCATTAAATACAGTAGCAGCCTCGCTCTCTAAATAGATACTAAATATAATAATGGTATAATGCGGTAATTATATCGTTAATATAGATTATTAACATTATTTAAATTAATATATAATCGTCGGAATTGTATAATAAACAATGATACAAGATATTTTTGTCGTTTTAGTTTTTTAAATTGTTATCATATAGTTAATAATCACAATAGCGTATTCTGAAAAATAGATTAGGGTCCCGTGGGCAGAGGGCGGAGTGCTTCGATTTCCGGACAATTTTTTTTCTCTCTTTCTCTCTTTTTAATATCTATTTGCGCTTTTCCACGGGCGAACCTAAGTCTCGGACGAGAACCTGTGAGGGGGGGGGGGACGATCGGTCACACAGGTCTCGAGTCGTTATCAAAAGTCGCGTCACGAGCGATTCCTGTCATCCGTTCACCCCGTCTTTGATTTACGCCGCAAATGACTCGAAACGCAACTCGAAGAATTGCAACTAGGAATCCAGCAACCCCTATTGTACTTGCATTTTACGTTGACTGTCGCTTTCGTGTGACGAGGATGGTACAAAAAAAAAAAGAACAAGAATCGAACGCTCGATGTTTCGTTCGGGAGGATTTTAGCGCGATTTCGAGTATTATACAGGATCGGCGGGGTTACTTCCCCGCAAAACTTTCGTGCTCGACGTCGCTCACGACGACAGATCTCCGCGCGATTTTCGTCTCTCGTCGTCGTCGTCGTCTTGACGCGCGTTGATGCGCAACAAATTTCCTTCGCGACGTTGACTTTCGATCACCGAGTCCCGCTCGAGAGAACTCGTACAACGAGCACCATCGTCGTTGCGACGCGTTCGCATCTATATATAAACAGCGCGTTTTACGCGGTGTGTATTTTATTACCAGTAAAAGACTAGTATCGGGCTCGTTTTACTACAAAGCTTTTCTCATCGCCATCCCTCCCGCTTTCACGTTTCCATTTTCTTTCCTTTTCTTATTTTATTTATTTATTTATTTATTTTTTTTTTAACCGCGTCTCTGCCACTCTGCCTAGGGAACCCACTATAACAGGGCACTATGAACAGCAGTCTGCTGGCTAAGTGACTTTCCGAATCTACAGTCGTTCTCTCGCATTCTCTCGCTCTCGTTCGCTCTCACTCGATCAAGTTTACCTCTCTCTCGCCCTGTCGCACGTCCATTAAAATTTTTTTTTTTTTTTCCCCCTCACAACGCTTTGCCCTCGTTTCCACTCGCGTTTTCCCTAATCTCGCTCTCTCTCTTTCTCTCTCTCTCTCTCTCTCTCTCTCTCTCTCTCTCTCTCCGGCACGTCTCCGTGGTTCTTCGCTTTTTCATTCTTCTTCATCGATCCCGTGCACCTCTCCGGCAACTCGTTGCCAACCGAAATACCGTGTTTTTTTGAATTTTCGTTCATTTTTGCGTCAAAAAAGCGGAAACTCAGCTCTCGGACAAAGAAACGCAAATGTCGTCCTCGCGAAGTACAAACAAACGTAACGTGTAAGAGAATAACATAAAAAAAAAAAAAAGAGAAAGAGAAAATAAACGGTGCGTAAGCGTTTAAACGGCACAACGAAGCTTGGCAGTTGGAACGGACAGACCTATCGGGTGCAAAATAATAAGAGAAAAATCGAGCTCTCGCTGATTGCGCAAACTATCGTATCGGATAAAATCACACGGAAAGAAAGCTTCACATTCCGCCCTCCTCCTCCTCCTATACCCTTCTCCCCCAGAGCTTATCCCAGACAAAATCCGATCTAACACGCGCTCGCAAAAACTCTCTCCGCGCTTCTCCCTCCCACGTGTTGTTACGCGGAACATATCGCGCGACGCACCCCTTTTCCCTTTTTCGGTCCATCGAAAAAATCGACACAAAAGCCTCCCTTTCGCCAGCATGCTTTTCTCCTATGTCAGCATTCACACTACGTGTCAGCCAATAGTAAACCACTACTTTACCTTTTTCGCGTTTATGATATTTTATACTTTACTTTTTTTAATTATCTTTTTTTTTGTTCGTTTAATATTAGACATGCCGTGTCTCTACCGTCAGCCTACTGCCAAACTATCCTATTCCTTTGCCCTCTCCTCTTTTCTCTTCTTCGTGTGTATGTCTCATATGTTTTATTCTCTTCGACCCTCTCCTCTTTTGCTCGCGTCGCGTGCTTTCATCAAAACCCTTGCCGGGGTTATTTCCCAGATTCCCACATTTCTTTCGCTCTCGCTCTCGCTCTCTCTTTCTCTCTCTCTCTTTCTCGCTTCTTACAGTTTTATAAATAGTATTGTATTAATAATTCATCATTCTCTTTCGTGTGTGTGTCGTTACAAGTATAATTATCGGCAATAATATACCTTTATTATTAATGTAGTAATCTCGTTTATATTTAGTATCGCTCTCCCCCTCGCGCTTTCTTTTGCCATTTTTTTTTTTTTTTTTTTTTTTTTTTTCCATTATTATTCTCTCTCTCAATCCCGCCGGATATAAATTTCGTTCGCGCGCGTGTCGCGGCCACGGAGAAATTCCGCGAGCGTTGAAATCGCGCGAGCGTTTTCACGAATGAACGAGAACGAACAAATCGTCATCACACGCTGCCGCTCCTCCTGTGTGTGCCACGCAAAAATGAGTGCCTGCGATCGATTATTATTATTAAATTGCGGGTGGTTGCTTCGATTTTTTCTTCTTTTCTGGTTGATGTTTTTTTTTTTTTCGTTTTTTTCAAATCCGTGCTCGACGCGTGTCGCGCGCCGACGACACGAAAATATATGGATTTATATTAAATTACAAATTACGGCGAAGACGCGCGCGCGCGCACACACACACACATATACACCACGCAACATACATTCACGCACACGCATATCCATATTACACAACCGTGCCCGATTAATTAACGTCGAAGGACCCTCCCAAATTGCGACTCTGGCATGCGACACGCGGCCACTCGACGAACTCAACAAGCTGTGTACGTTCGTCCTGCGTCGACGTTGGAGCGCACGTATCATCGCACGTAATTAAAAAAAAAAAAAAAAAAAAAAAACAATTATACGCGCGGATTCGATTTTTCGTTCCGACCGATCTGATGATCGATGATGCGTCTCGCACAATCGACATCGACAAACGACGTTTTAATAAATTCGATGTTCCGCGACGACGTTTCGTCCCGACCCGCCGTGTTCGTTGAACGCGGTATTATGTTGCTCCAAGTTATTGTTATTTTATACTTATACGCCATGTGTGACGTGCAATATAGCAATCGCATCGCATTATTTTCACACCAGATGCGTTGTGTGCAAAATATGACGTAATTCTATATATTCGATGATATATGTGTGTGTTAATATATACAGTCGGTTTCGACGTCGACGTCGCGGCTAATCGAATCAAACTCCGACGAGAGAGCCACACACAAGTGGCTGCATATGTGTGTTTATGTCGCGCGTGTTGTACGAGTGTGTGTGTGTTTTTTGTATGTGTTTTGTACGTCCAGTATACGTGTTGTAGAGAGCGATAAGTAGTTGCGGTGACTTAATTAAGAGACCCTTAAATGCTAGAAATCGGAATCGTGACGCTTTTCAAAACGCTATTTTAATTAATGTACAGTCTGCGATCTCTCGTCGCTTATCTTCTCCAGCGCGTTGTCCGGCTCGACTCGCGCGAATATTCGACGAATTCTCGCGCGTGTCGCGCCGGATTCCTCCACCTTCGCCTTTGCGAAATTCGATCGCGATCTCGCGAACGGCACGAAGCAGACACGCGCGCGCGCGCGCGCGCTTATAACGAGTAATGCAAAGAGAGTATAATAATAACGATCGTGATAACGAGTGGCGTGTGGCAAACGCGCGAGATCGTGACGCTCGCGAGACGCGAATCGGAGAATGTGTGCGCGCGTGTGTGTATGCGTTAATTTTGTTGGATACTCGCCGAAATCTCTGCGTCGTGTCCGATAATACGTGTCGATAAAAGTGAACAATGGAAAGCTCGCGACAATTAAAAAAATCCGATTCGAATTTTGAATCTTCGAGCTTGTACGTCGTGGCGACGTCGAAACGACAATTCGATATCTCAAAAGGAAATATCGAAAAAAGGAACACGCGCGCGAGGGAAAGTGTGAGAGGACACAAATAGGACGGCGAATATCCTGACTGATCCAAATGAATCGGCATTATACGATACACACACACACACACACGCACACGCACACACGTACGCATACACACGCGGACGCGGGATATGTCACGTTTGCGGTGTGTTTCTTTTCACATTTTGGCGCGGTCTCGACAAAATCGGCGGCATCCTCTTCTCTGCCGACTTTTAACGGCAAGAACGACGATGACGACGACATTACACGACATGTTATCAGATAGGCGATGTAATGCAAACGTGTGCCAGAGTCACATTCGGGGACGCTCTCTCTTTTCCGCGAACGGTTATAAACGGTTCTTTTTTTTTTTTTTTTTAAGGATACACATGGCCGACTAAATATACAAGACCGGCGGTTTTCTTTTTTTTTTGTTTTTTTTTTTAAAGTAGCGTTAATGCGCTGCCGGGCGGCCGCATCCGGGTCGGGACGCACTTCTTCTCGCCGAGCTTTCTAGTTAGTTACAGTAAAAAATAGCGTAAACGGCACTGTATTAGGAAGAAGCAAAATACATGTTACATTCTCGTTATTTTATCGTTGATAAATGCTATAGTGTTTTTTTTTTTTGTTTTCTTTAAAAATCCTCTGGTATCGCAATGTCGTTATTACACATTATTATGATTATTTCTTAAGTTATTAATTATACCATATTGTTATAGTTTATTATTATTATTATTATTATTATATTATTAATGCTCGCTCATTTTACAACGCGCCGTGCAGAGTCCGGGCGGACTCTCGCGTCGGAAAGAAAAACATCACCGACACTGTGTTCTTTTTTCTTTTTTTGTTTGTTTTTTTTTCTCGCTTGATCAGACTGTGTGAACGCACGTCGGAAAAGCGGGAGAGAACTCGTCGTCCCGCCGCCGTTCCTGTTCTATTTTTGTTTGTTTTTTTTTTTTTTCATTTTCTTCTTCTTCTCTTCACACCGAGAAATTCCTTCTCCGCTCCTTCTCACTTAATTACAAAGCGTGAAACGGGAGTCTCGTTTCTCCCGCGGTCCGTTCGTCGCGAATTTTAATGATTAACAATCGCGAGACTCGTGGCCGTCGTGGCAATGGAGTTTTCGTTGAAACGCGAATTTCGAAAAATACAATTGTCCTCTTTTTTCTCTTTCTCTCTGTCCCTCGTCTCTTAGATATACACATATATGTATATCTATATTATATATTTATGCATATGTATATATATATATATATTTATGCTTTTCACTTGGTAATGTGAGCCACACTTTTTTAAAAAACGGAACGTGTCTGATCGGCGAAATCCTCCGACGGCTAAAAGGGAGTTCGAGGGGGTGAAGGGGGAATGAATGAGAGAGAGACCGCGGGAAAAAGAAGACTCCCACTTCGGAGATTCAACGCTAATAGTAAATTTGTTTAACATTAGGTACTAATTCTCTCCTTCCTTCTTTTCTCATTTTTTTTTTTTTTTTTTTTAAGTGACTTACAAGTTCGTACAACTCGCCTATCATGTAAAACTATGACGCCTAAGATGTCCGAATTAACACTAGATCTCGATAATATATATATGTATATATATATAATCAGATCAGATAAATTAATAGTCGTAACTTGTGTATATATATATATATCAACTAGGCTAGATTTCGACGGAAAAATATATTTATAAAAAGTTATAATATATATATATATATATCATTATAATATACGTTTCAAGCGTTCTATATATATATATATATATATATATATATATGTATTTATATATATATATTCATTTATTTATTTATATTTATTTATATATTTATATATTTATATATTTTATATATATATATATATACGTATGTACTCCCCTCCCCCCCATTACTAATCTTCTACTTATCTCTAAGCTTTTTCATACATACTCTCGCGATTCGCACCTCTCATACGTAACTTCATCTTTTTTTTTTTTTCATTTGATCTCCCTTTCGAGGATCGATCTATTCGTGTGTGTGTGTGAGTGTGTGTGTGCGTGTGTGTGTGTGTGTGCATCTAGGTTTATTTTCCTCCCTTCAAAATTTATATATAAGTAACTGGCTAAACACTTGTTTCTCTCTCCGTTAAATATACGAGACAAATAACTCGGACTCGAGAGATTGAAATAAAATAATGCATGAAATACACGTCGTCACGTCGTCCCGTCGCGATATCAGTTTGAAATCAGTTAAATCACGCGAAGCTTTAAATAATCGAACAACGCTCTCTTCGCATGCCCCTACCCCCCTCGCGTTTAATAACAATGCCGAGCAAACGAACTCATTTATATCGAGCCGAAAGTCGTTCTAAAGTCGATCTCATTTGATCGCGTCATTGTCTTGGATGGAATCCGTTCCTTATTGGCTTTAAACAACATGAACGTCACGAGCTCCTTTTGAACACGTTTTTTTTACACAAATCTTCGTTTTTTATTTATTTATTTATTTATTTATTTCTCTTTTACTAAAGCATTAACGCTCGATATACAATAATATCGTAAGCTTATTAGACTTCTGACAGGTTTTTTTTTTTTTTGAACACCGAGCTACCGCTACGCCTATCTCGCTCTCTTTCTCTCCCTCTCTCTCGCCCAAATCTCTTACTCACGCACTCTCTCTCTCTCTCTCTCTCTCTTGAAAAATATTTCGTCGTACACGATCGTTCTTTGTTTTTTTTAATTATTTTTCATGCATTACTTGATTCCAACGTTTAGTACAATTCTACGATCTCAAATATCTCACGAGTGTCTCCCAACTAGTGTGTCGTCAACATGATTATTAAAAACTCGCTAATATGGTGAACGGTCCTTACAACTTGTCCTGTTCTTTTTTGCGCGTACGCGCGCGCGCGCGTGTGTGTGTGTGTTTGTTTGTGTACAACTGTGTTCGAGTCAAGTGTGCAAGGGGACCACCTTTTCTTATCGTTTAACAAATTACCGTGTTTTGTGCGCCTTTTCTAACGATTAACCATCACAATGACCAACGGTTGTCTAGTTTACAATTAATATCTTTGGTATCATGCCTGAGTCTTCCACGTACAAAAAAAAAAAAAAAAAAAAAAAAAAAAAAAAAAAAAAAACAAACAAAGTCACTAAACAATCATTAGAAATCGGATACAAGAATCGTTCGTTTTTTTTTTGTCGCGTATAAAACTTATATAGAAAACAGCTC